TAGACTACCCTCAAATACATTCAAATCTTTCCATACAGTTATACACTACAGATATTTTACATAGTCGTGAATATACAGAATTATTAATTGCTAATTATATGCGGCTGATTTTCGATTTTGCATGATAGGTCTGTTTCCTGCAATTAAGTTCAAATAACTATTACTCTTTCTGTACACTGCCAGTACCCCTGACATTATATAACCAGGCAACCCTGAATGTAATTTTGCATTTTCCATGTAAACCAGGTAATATGTTTATCTACATTTGTGAAAAAAATATATTACCTTTTGACTACACTATTTTTCTTGAATCAGTTTTTACATATATAATCATTTGACTTTGCACATTGCAAATTTTATATGTAAAGCTTTCTGAATATACATCATTTTAAAAAAGCGACTTTGGTATTTGCTTGTTTTAATGGTAAAACTTTGATAGAAAATTTTCTTCCTTAAATCTACTGCTCACATACTTCAATTACGAAAGTGCTCTGTCAGATTATTTATCATTTCTTGAACAGTTGTGAAAAGGAGTGAAATTAAACTGCAAAAGAGATCACTGAGAAGGAAAGCAAATCTGCTGAAACAAAAATATTGTCATTATAAAACGAGCTGAAATAGAACATTTAGTGCCTGCTTTGTGTATTACATTAATGCATGCATTCTGATAAATTGCTAGCATTTACCAATCAAGGTTTAAATTATCCTGTGGTAAGCTTTTTAACAACCACTTGAATAATTTACTGCAGTAAGAGTATTTCTCCCATCAGTATTTGTCAATCCACTTTTAAAGCCCTCTTCCTTTCTTGTGCTATGTGCATAGGCAGACAAAACATCTGCTTGATTGGTCATAAATGGCATGCCAATTTGATTACGGTTCTGACATGTGTCAAGTAGCGAATGCAACAAATGGTATTGACTGCTTTGTCCACTTTATGAGGCAATAAAGTAATTTTAGGGTACCTTTACATTGTATTTGGGGGTGGATTTAATAAGACATCTGAGTCCACACCTCCCAGGCTGAAATGCTAGTGTGCAATGGACAAATGACACAGGGCTTGCAGTTCTTCATCAGGGGAAGAGTGATAAACCCTTGGGCATACATCAGACTTCTGCACCCACCTCCCTTCCCCAGGAGCAGCAAGTCCCACATCAATAGAAACAGTTCCCAGGCAATCAGAGGCAGTTGGGTTTCTGTGGAGCAGCAGTGATATAGCTGATGTCATACGAATTCCTCAGGAGAGGTTAGTTTTGGGGGGGGAAATGGTGACAGTGGTGAGGAGATAGTGTGCATGGTTCCTGGGTAGTTGGGAAGCTGGGCAGTGTGGAGAGAAGGGTATTATATTTTGGGAAGTGCCCTCCGTGATGAGGCCAGGAGGTCCATTAATAGGGGACTGCACCCCCACCTCCTGCTATCGGTTTTCACAAGGGTAACTTACTTGACTACCTTCTTGTTGTGGGCCTCTCTCCGCCACCCATTAGCTCCCGGTTTGTCAACTGGCCCATCGAAAGGGAGGCTGCCTGACCTTACTCACCCCTTGCAGGTAGAGGTGTGATGGTGGCAGAGATGGACATCCCTTCCGACCTGCTGCTGGGAAAACATTAAACCAGCCCACTGTGTGCTACTCCATTCAAACCACATTTAGTCACCAGTGCAAGGTCATCAAATTAAGTGCACTGGACTCCAAACTCTGCCTCTCCACACATGCTGCCAGACCTACTGAGTATATGCAGCACCTCCAGTTTTGTGGCTCATGTTGCTTGCATTGCTCGCACCAGTTGCAATGTTCCTCCACCCAGTGTAAAGAAACACTTTTAAACTTAAAATATGCCCCAAAAGCATTTTAATTTTTATCATAAAGGTTCAATGGGACAATGTGATGCTCAGTAAATCTTTGGAAATGAAGTGTACTTGCAAAACTCGTCAACCAAGCTGCCCTTGTGGAATTAACTACATCGAGTAATTTCAGCTCAGCGACAGGGGAAAGCATGTTATTATAGATGCATTCTACTCTCCTCATGCAACTTTAAATGTGGTTGTGGCTGAAGCTTTATCAATGAACAATGCACATAGTGCCTTTTTAGTTTAAACTGCTCACAGTATGTCAGACATCCAGCAGATTCATTTATTACTGGCTTACTGTGATATTTTACTGATCAACCTGTTTATAACCTTTGGCATGTTTAATATTGATGATAGCAGGTAGCATTTTGAACAGACTGTAATACAGTAAAAGCTCAAAGTGGTTTCATAAATTGTAAAATAGTGAAGTACAGGGAAGTTGGTTATACACCAAATCCAAAGGCTGTGTTTGGAACATTCTTTTTGGAACACTGCAAAGCACTTCTGAGAAATGTAGGATTAATTGACCACAATGTTAATAGTTTATATTACTGTAGCAGAAACACATTGCAGTAATATGAGAGATGAATAGCTTAAACTATGAATATTTGCATTGGCAAGATGATAAACTGTAAGTGAATAATAACTGGCAGGTTAGAATTTACATTTAACAGGTAGAAGTGTGCTGTAAATTTCACACACTGGAGAAATTAATACTGTTCAGGATGCAGCATAAAAGGGAAAGGAAAGTTTAGCATGCTTCTGAATTGTTTAAAAATTGGCTTGTTCTAAAAAAACTCTTTTCGCAGAGCCTGTCTTTTTTTGTGTTATTTCGACAGTTAACTGTGTCAAGTAGGGACCTCAAATAATGAGTCTCGGTGGAAAGAAAAATGATTATTTGAGAGATTTTGGCCAGATCTTTCTGTCTTAGAAATTTTACTTTCACAGGGGACAAATATTCCCAGTGTGCTGGCTCACCAAGGTGATGTTGCAAGTTTGGTCCCTGTCCTGCTTTTAAGCTCACCTCTGCTGGGACAGAAAATTTCCACCCAATATCCACATTTCAATTTGAAACCAATGTTAACTGACCAGACATCCCACTCTCAAACCTAACCAGAATTGAGTCATTTGCTTCCTCTGCTCTCTCACTGGTTTATAAAAAACTCTCAAATCTCTTGTTCTCTTCCCTTCTGATGATAGGTCATCCATCTGAAACATTAACCTATTCTCTCTCCACAGATGCCAACTGATGTACTGAGGCTTGCTAACCCTTTCTCATTTTTATTTCCAATTTTCAGCTTTGGCAGTACGTTGGTTTGGTATGGGTCACATGAGATCATGGGGCAGGGGTTTCAAACACACCCCTCTGTTCCCAACATTCCCTGGGTCAGTAAACATATCAGGTGAAGTTGGATTCACCATCACAAAGGCCTCATTATGACCTTGACTCAAAGCTGGACAAAAGAGTTGCATTCCAGGAACGCGGCAAGAGTTTCTGCCCTAGACATCAAGGCAGCTTTATTCAGAGTGTGGTATCAAGAAACCCCAGCAACACTGAAGTTAGTGGGCAATAGTGTGAAAAGCTCTTCACTGGTTAGAATCTAATCTAATACAATTGTTGGAGGCCAATCACTTTAGCCCAGGAAAAAATGTAGGAGTTCCTCTGGTGAGTTTCCACAACCCAACATCTTCGGGTGTCTTACACACCAAAGCAACAGAGTGTACCATCTAGGAGATGACCTACAGCAACTTGGTAAGGGGGCCCTGTCAGAACCTTCTATTCCTGCAAACTCTATCATCAATCATCAGGAAGTACAAGTGCAGGTAACACATGGGAATTCTGTTCCACATCATTGGAACTATATCACTTTTCATTTACTGGAACTGGGTCACAATGTTTCCTAACTAATCTGTGGGTGTGTCTGCACCAAACCGAGTTTAGCAGTTCAGGAGGATAGCTCGCCACAACCTTCACAGGGGCAGTTAAGGTTAGGTGGTGAATGCTAACTTTACCATCGATGCTGACATCTCAATAATGAATATGATGAAAATGAAGGGACAAACTTGCCTTTAAAATACATATTTAGTGGAATGACTGAAATGACAGAATTTTAAACGGACAAAGGACTAAATACATCTTTAAAAACTTCGGCCTGACTGGTAATTTTCAGGTGTCATGCCTAGGATATTTAAAATATCATTCTTTATCTTTGAATATTTTTACTGCAATCTTTGATTATTACAAACTAGCCATTCTATATACAGCAATCTCCAAACCTATAGGAATATAATGTTTCCATTGATGCTGCAGATGCAAAAAACATCGTATCACATTTTTTATAATTACAGTCTACTGAGAGTAGAAAAATCACATCTGTAAGACTGCAGAAATACTGGCAAGGATTGTACAATTGTGCAAAAAAAAATTATAAAAGGAATAGCCAGCGTGTTACAATATAATTATAGCATAACGTTTACAGTTAAACCTGCCACATCGAGCAACAGTCAAACCTAAGTTTGAACTTTGCATACACAGTTGGACATGGTTAGATGATTGCACCAATATATTTGTGTTTCAGGCATGGAATGCATGCATAAAAGCAAAAATAAAAGTGGAGTGATATAATCAACTCTGGGGTAGATTTTAATTATTAAACTACTGACCTGCAATATATACTAGCAGGACAATGCTACTGTTGGATACCTTGTTGCATTTAGACGGCCGGAGCTTATCGACATGGAAGTCAGGTCTTGGTAAGGCAGATTGCCAGGTAGGAGGAGCCTGAATGGGGCACCACTGCTTACCCCATTTCCTTAAATATTATTTCTGATTTACCTTTTGGTGTTCCATCTGCTTTATCTTCAGATATAACTGGGAGATTCTTGAATGTCTGTCAAAATTACAACTGGACTGGGCACATGCCACAAAGTCATGATGTGTGAACGTAAATAGGAAGGACAGGGGCAAGCCAGCTGCCCACCTAAGAATGGTAGTGACTAGGGCATCAGTGCCATAGGATCCTTTCAGTGCAAGGAAGGCCATTTGGCCCATCAGGTCTGCACCAACCCTCCAAAGAGCATCCCAACTGGACCCCCACCCCAGTTCCACATTTACCATGGTCAATCCACCCAGCCTGCACATCTTTGGACGGTGGGCAATGGAAACCCGCACAGATATGGGGAGAAAGAGCAAACACCCCACAGACAGTCGCCCAAGGCTAGAATTGAACCCAGGTCCCTGACACTGTGCAGCAATAGTGCTAACCAGTCAGCCATCATTCTGTGCTGGCAGGCAACAAGTTAGTTTGGGACATAATCACTCGGTTTTAAGCACAACACCAATGTTAAAATCTACCCCTTAGTTTTGACAATCTCTTCTTTTAGTTTTTCTATACGACTGAATCAAGAAGTAAATTCGTGTAAAAACATATGCCACACTCACTAATCTCTGAGATTAGATTTTGTGATGTGCGAATTCCTCCTTTGTCCCACGGTTGATGATTGGTTTGGTGAGAGCTTTGACCATCTGCTGTGTCAGGTATTAGTAGCAGACTCATACTTTCCCAGTCCATGTTGATTTGTGCCGATGCTTTCGAGTCCATCAGATTCCTAAAGGAGACATGAATACAATTCTTTAGCAATATAGGCTGAAGTGTTTAACATGAAATAGTCGCTTCACTCACCCACCATTTGTGTACTGCCTGGAGTAGAGAGCTCTACTCCGAAGGAAAGTGGGGTTGCTGCTGTTACCTGAGCAGCCTTCTGTTTCCATTCTATCCCAACCTCTCTTCTTACTGCACTGTAGAAATAAAAGGAAGTTGACTGTTAGATTTTCTAGACTGGGCTGTTAGTTAATACTAATGAGCGCATGCATGACATTGCTGACAAACTTAAATAAAGGTCACCGCTATTTCTTTGTCTGACCAAGTCATTTACAAATGTGGAGAGAGGCTGAGTCTATAGATCTAAGGGGCACACTGTGGGGTGGATTTTGAGCAAGGGTGGGGAGAGGGTATGTAATATAGCGGGAGTGACTAGCCCACTGGCTTACCACCAGTCGAGCTCACCTGGTAATGGGGTGGTTGCAGGGTGTAAAACAGAGGCAGGTCCACCAACCTTTAAAAAGATCCTACAAAGCTATGAGGATAAGCATGTGCCGAGGCAGGCTGACACCTAGTTGTGATAAATTCACTTAACTCTCCACCTCTTATACAACCTCACCAACCCCCATTCTCCACGTCCCACTCATGCCCTCCCTGCTTCGTCATGCCCAGTAGCCATGCTCCCAGCCTCTCATTCTCTCCATGTCAACTCATACCTCTACCATGCCCAATCATTCAGTACACATTACATTTAAAATCAACGATCCATATCATAACAATGGTAAGTTTGAAACTGCTAAGAAAAAGAACACCCATTCAGAAGTGTCCTTTGAAAAAAGAATCTGCTGTTCCTACAACCCTCTTTGTTTATTATTATTCTTTCATGACGTGCGTATTTTACTAGTTGTGTCAGTAATTTTTGTGCATCCCTAAATGTAGCAATAAATCAGTCCATTAAATGTTCAATAACAGAAGTTTCAAACATTTTACACCTTTTTACTTTGTTCAAATAAACAAGAAACATTGACAAAAGAGATCACAGAAAGAGCATCTTTTTACATCCACCGAAAGATGTCAATCAAGAAAAGCCAGAAATTCACTTCAGCTGTGGAAACAGATTCCATGCCGAGTTCGTGCTTTTATTGGTTTAGGATCTCAGCCAAGCATACATGATGAGGATAATCAGAAATCTTAAAAGACCTAAAGCTGGATAATTTAACATCTTGCAGGAAGTCATCTCTAAATAAAATGTTTTAATAGCTTCAGTTCACTTCTGTGGTGTCAAATAATTGCCATTTGTCTTCACAAATCGCCGTCTGGCTGGGTATGAATTTCCTTGTGCTGTCATTCCTCTAGTATTTTGCACGGGCAGTCATTCTCATTGGTAGTCTCAACATTAAGTGCAGCCTCACAGTTAAATCTGAAACTGTCGTTATCTGTTTCTATACAAACTCACCTTTCACCAGGGGTCACTGGAAAGCACTTAGGAGTGGGGATGCTGACGGATAGCCTGAAAGCAAAGATGAATAAGTTAACATGTGGAATTAGGGCAAGGGAGACAGAGATGAAGTCTAAATCTGGGTTACACTAAAGGCACCTTAGCCCCAGAGCACCATTAGAGAGAGATGACATTAGAGAGTGATGGTTTAACATAAGGGTCGCTACACCTCAGGTGAGGAGTAAGGTTGAAAAGTAGGGACGCTCACTGTAACTGTGATAACCCTTACAAGGAGCTTGTTGTGTATGAGTTCCCTTGATAACAAGTAATGACCTGCCCAGCTGGAACTCATCTCCTGAGCCCTTTATAAAGCCGACCGAGGGATGGATCTGTGGAACTCTGTGTCCTGGACTGGGACTATGTACTCAATAAGTAGCAGGTCTATTTTGGTGGTCAACAATAAATTATGTTCCTTTCCTGTCTGCTTTCCTGAGCTATCATAGTAACCATAATTGGTACAGGAAATTGAAGTTAAAGTGCATGCTTGCTACTTACATTTTAGTCTTAAGTCTTTTTAAAATGCCTTGTTCTGATTTTGAGTGAAGTATAAGTATTGCCAAAAAACAAAAGGAAAATGGAAGTGATCAACAAACTAAGAAATATATTGAGCTTAAGTTCTGCTGTCACCTTGTCAAAAATGAGTTTTATCTTGGCTAAAACTATTGATAAGCTGAGTCATAAATTTCCACCTAAAGTTATACAGAAAAAGCCAAAACAACCTCACACCATTTAGCACAGTGCAATGCAACTCTTTCCATGTACTTTTAAACTTCTAGAAACCTTCCTTGCTGTACTGTTGGTGTCAGTCTGCATCACAAGCCAGCTGGCCAGCCTACTGAGCTAACTGCCTCCCATATGGGTTACACTGCATAGATGTTAATGCACACGGTATAGTTAATATGACTGGTGAGTTAAAGGTACAGATTGCCTTGCGGGATAATGCTGCTGTAGCATAACAGATTTGGCTCAGGGAAGGGCAGATCTGGGTGTTAAATATTCCTGGTCACCAAGATGCTGAGAAAATATAGTAAAGGAGTAAAAAGAGGAGGGGTGACATTTTTGGTTTGGGAGAGCACTGCAGTACTGGGAAAGGGGATATTCCAGAGGATTCAAAGACAGAATTAATTTAGCTAGAGCTAAGGAATAGGAAGGGTGGAATTACATTACTTAGTGCAACTTACAGACCACCAACTAGTGGGAAGGATACAGAGGAACAAAGCTGCAAGGAAATTGCAGACAGGTGTAAGCATCATAGAGTAATTATAATGGCAGCTTAAAATTATCTTAACAGAGAATGGGATGGTGATGGTGTAAGTGGCAGTGAGGGACTAGCATTAAGTTGTGTGAGAACTTCCTACAGTGTATCCAATCCAACAAGGAAGGAGGCACTGGTGGATATGATTCTTGGGAGTGAGATGCGCAAAATAGATCAAGTGATGGTAGGGGAACATTTAGAGGACAGTGATGATTGTATGATAATGTTTAAGTTAATGGTGGAAAATGACACAGGGGTTAATTGAGAATAAAAATAATCATCTGGTGCAGAGTGGACTTCAATCGGTGAGAACAATGTTGGTTGACAACGCAGAACCAACAGTAGATAAACAATGGCCCACCTTCGGAAGAGGGAGGAATTGGTTTGCAGGTGGATTGGACCCAGTAAATGTATACTCCCTCAAAAGGGAAATATAGAATAACAATCTAGAGCACCTTGGATGAAAAAAAGGGGACAGAGATTCTAACATCTGTTCACTCAATTAATGCATTCAATTCTAATGTTCTGGCAAGTTAATAAACTTCATGTCAAGACAATGATTAATTGTTTTCAGCAAGATCCAAAGTAATTAGAACGGAGAAACCTAGGTGTATATGTAAATCAGTGATTAGAGGTAGTATGACAGGTACAGAGATCTGTTAATAAAGCAGAGTGCATTCTATGGGCAGCATGGTGGCTCTGTGGGTAGCATTGCTGCTTCACAGCACCAGGGACCAGAGTTTTATTCCAGCCTCAGGCAACTGTCTGTGCAGAGTCTGCATGTTCTCCACATGTCTGTGTGGTTTTGCTTTGGGTGCTCTAATTTCCTCTGACAGTCCAAAGATGTGCGAGTTGGGTGGATTGGCCTTGCTAAATTGCCTAAAGTGTCCAGGGATGTGTAGTCTAGGCGGATTAACCATGGGAAATGCAGGGTTACAGGGATAAGGTAAGGGTGTGGGTCTGGGTGGGATGTTCTGTGGAGGATCAGTATGGCTCGATGGGCCAAATGGCCTGCTACCACACTGTAGGGATTTTGTGATTCTAGCAGTGGCATAGCGTACAAGAGCAGGGAGGTTATGTTGAACTCATATAAGTATAGTGTATAGTTCTGTGTGTCACACTATTAGAAAGATGTGAATAGACTGGATAGAGTGCAGACGAAGTTTACAAGAATAGTACCAGGGATGAGATACTTCTGTAATGAGGACAGATTGAAGAAGTTGGGATTGGTTTAATTGGAGAGAAAGTTGAGGGGATAGTTGACAGAAGTATTCAAAATTGTGAGGGGTCTGAACAGAATAGATAGGGAGAAACTAATCCTGCTTGAAAATGGATCAAGAGCCACACAGCACAATTTTAAGATGTTATGCAAAATAAAAAGCAAATGAGAGGAGAGAAATTACTTTTTCATGATGTGAGACATTGTTGAGACATTGAGACATTCAAGACAGCATTGGATGACTATTTGAATAGAAACAACGTGTAAGATTCCTGGGAAGAGGCAAGAGATTGGCAATGAGTTAAAATTAGCTGAGCCAGTGCAGACATGATGGGTCGAATATCCTCCCTGCACCATTGCATTTCTGCAATTTAGTGAATGCTTTTTGTGCGACATTAATGTAGCTCAGCACCACACATCAACATGCCCACTCCTTTGACTGTTCAGTGCTCTGAAACATGGCTGCTACCTCTTCCTGTGGATTGAAAATTAAGGCAAGTCACAGAGACTGGCAGCTCCCAAGCAAGTAGAAAGTGAGTGAGTGCTAAGAAATGAAGCTAAAAGCTGTGAGATGCATCCAAGTGTAGGTGCCTGAGATGTGTGTGTGTCTCTGTATGCAGTGACCTGGCACATGCATTCAGGTCATAGATAAAAACTGAAAGAACTGCAGATGCTGGAAATCAGAAAGGAAAATTACTGGAAATGCCCAGCAGGTCTGGCAGCATCTGTGAAGAGAAATCGGAGTTAACCTTTCGGGTTCAGTGACCCGTCCTCAGAACTGATGGTAGCTAGGAAAATGTTTTTTATGCAGAAGATAGGATTGGGGGAGGGGGTAAGGAGTAAATGATAGTTGGAGATAGAGCCCAAAGAGAAAGAACAATTGGACAGACAAAGGACTGGATAATGATTAGCCTGGGAGAATGAATAGCTATTACTGAACAAAAACAAAGTTGCTGGAAAAGCTCAGCAGGTCTGGCAGCATCTATGAAGGAGAAAACAGAGTTAACGTTT